TTTTGGTCAGAAGAACCACAGACCCAAACATCGCCAGAACCCCGAACACCATTCCAGCACTGAACCTAAAACAGCAACATGCAAAAAAAAGTCGGTACATTTTCAGATTTTAGATTTCAGATTTTAACTCCCAGGTTTTTCATTCTTTTACTATGATGATTTGTGGATATGTGGGTATGTGTGGGGGAGGGAGGGTGGTTACCCATAATGCCCTGCTCTCATCATAAGCAGCTTAAGACATTTTTAATGACTAAAGCTTTAAGTCTTAAAATATGAAATATCATCACTGTGGATTTAATATGGCAACAGCCACACCAATAGAAACCAAAGCAAAGCAAGAGAGGTTTACATGTCTTTATATAGATTATATAGTTTATATTAAAATGTCGATTTTTTTTCATTCAGAATCACAAGGACAAAAGACTGACAGCTCTGCATATTACAGCAATAAATGTTAAAGAGGTCATAATAAGCATCACTGTCATGTGAACATGCCCAAAAAAACAAACAAAAAAACTGATTTGAGGAAAGTAAATCATACCAGATGTAGAGAAAGTGAGGGTTGAGATGAGCACATCTGGCAAACAGACGGTTGAAGATGCCGGTGTGCCATTTAATGTGGAATGGAGAGAGAGTGAATCCATTCGAGGATAACCAGGATTCATAGCGGTTCTTCACTGAACTGGATGACTGAAAGAGAAAGAAAGAGAGAAAGAAAGAAAGAAAGAAAGAGAGAGAGAGAGAGAGAGAGAGAGAGAAAACAGTTGTTAGGATGCGATAGGGATTTATAATGAGGTAGGTACAATCATTTGTGCTAAAAAAAATAATACAGTAGTGTTGCTACTGTATAGAAATATGATATAATTTAAAAAGTTTTTACCACAGCTGTTGTTTACCATGTGTTGCCAAGTTATGTCTAAAGCCACTTTAACTTAAAAAGCATACATTTGCATAAAATCGTACATTAGTGAGAGAGTAACTGTATTACGATAATCATTTAGAATTAACACTGAATAACTTTTAAAGTTGCAACTGAAAAACTGAACTAAAAACATGGCAGTGCCACGGTACAGTAATACATTAGATAATAATATTATGATACTGAGATATGCAATGTTACTAAAATTATAATGGTACATACTACGAGCCATGGTAGCTTCACGGTATAATCCTGAAAAACATGGCACGTGTTTGGCACCAAAACTGTACAGTCGTATTACTTTACATCACTGTACCATTGCACATCAAAATGCTTCTCTTATCATCTAATGTCCTTGACAAATTAGAAAGTATCAATAACAATCGATTCCATTACTTAAGCAGCAAACACCTCTGTACTCTCTGTTAACTCTAGTAATGAAGAGTTGTATTGGTGAGATCCGCCTACCCTCAGCAGCGTGTCCGCCAGATACACTGTACACCACCCGCCCATCACACACACCACCACCGCTATGGGAATCATGGCACACCGGGCTGCATGCGTCTCAAGAGCGTCCAAATCCAGAGACAAATGAACTTACGATTCCGATTGTCAAGCACGACACCACACATCCACTGTGTACAAAACACCGTAGAAGCCGACGCTTCCGCGTTTGCGTGAATTACGATATCCAAACGCAGTCTAACTAATCGAGTCAGACTGTTTACGTTTGTCAGAGCACATAGTGGCTCAAAGTCAGAGAGCAATCGAGCACGTAGCTCGAATCATTTCGTGAATCGGTTCTTTCAAACAGAACGATTCAGTGATTTGTCTTCATCGCGTTCTCTGACGTTTTTAATTTTAATTAAATAAGGGTCATTGTTGTAATTTGCGTGTCTCGGTTCAATTTGTTGCTATGTTTAAGCTAATAAGACATTAAGTAATTCAAAACTTAATATAGGCTAATTTATGTTCACATTACAAATACTAAATTAAATTTCATATAGGCTATGTGTGTTGCTAAAAGTACAATACAAGTCGTACATTTACAGTATGTTTTATTTGTAATAGTTAGGCTATTGTACAAAGAAAAAAAGGCTCATTTTGACATTTTTGGCTCACTTCATTTGGGATGTGCGTGTGAGGTAGTATAGACTAATTCTCATAAAACTTTTCAGTCAAATCTTAATTTTCACTCCAAATGCATGCTATCAGCTGACTCATCGGTTCTCAGGTCATTACAAATTGTAGAAAGACAATTACAATGTCGATTCTTGGTACAATTAATATGTTGGTGAGATGTTGACTCTGCATGACCCTTACGAAAAAGAAGTTTATTCAAGTGTGCTATTAGTATACTTCTTTTAAACTAAAATAGGAAAGTATACTTGTAGTCTACTTATTATGTACTTCTCAGAAATGGGCTTTCTGTACTTCTCAGAAATATACTTAAAATAACATTTAAGTATACTTGACTTATACTTAGAAAAAGTCTAAATATATTTGAGCTGTACTTGTGTTCCTAGAATCCGTGTTTTCATTGTTATACTGTAGGGGGGTGCTAGAACACATTTTCTGTACAGAATTTCCAAAAAACACAAGTGAAGAAGAAACCGAAACAACAGATGCTTCCACATGTATTCTAACACGATCATCAGACATAAAACAGCATCAGAACTGTGTAAAGTTGATATAATGTCGACCAATGAAGAGATAATAATGACTGTCAAGCTTTGGGGTGTTGATCGACTCTATCTATGTTTTGATTATCATTCTGAATCCAATTCATAGTCTTTTTTCTGCTTTTTGTTCAAAATGTTTATTTCTTTATTTTTTATTTATGAAACTTATCCACATTCAAGTGTTTAAAAAAAGAATGCATGAAGCTAGAATAAAATGTTTTTGTTTACAAGCAGATACCCTGTTCTTTTGATGTTTTGTATGTTCAGATATTCATCTAGCAAAATATATACAAAATAATACCTAAATAGGGACATAGTAGTATACTTCAAGTATGAAGTAAAGTTCACTAAAAGAAAACTTATGAGTATACTTGCAGTATAAAACTATTAAACTAGTAGTTTACTAAAACAATACTTCAAAGTGTACTAAAAATGCTACTACAAGTATTTAATTAGTAAACTATCAGTATACCTATAAGTTCACTTTTAGTGTAGTTGCAGTACAAACTAAACATTTTGATGTAAACTAGTTGTGTACTCAGTTTACTACTGTTATACTTAAAGTATACTTAAAAGTATACTTTTATATACTAGAAAGTGGGCCAATTTAGTCCCAATGAGTATTGAAATAGTACACTTACAAGTATACTACTAGTACACTGATATTTGTATACTTACTACATAAAGTTTACTTAAAAATATACTTGAACTTTACTTAAGTATACTTACTAAAAGAAACTTGAAGTATACTACTTTTTGGTAAGGGGATTCAGACAATCCTTTCACAAACTGCTTACAGTAGTCTGATTCAAGAATAGATTCTGACTTTCCAGTCTCCAGTACATTTAGTGTGGGCTTTAGGGATGGGACCAGTGAAGCAGACACAGGAATCTGGCAGGGTGTCAGAATTCGTACAAGACCAGTTTTGCGAGCCTGTTTAAGTGTTTCAATTGAAAGATCCGACACACAAAAGCGATTTGCTCAGAAATCGGATGTCTCTGTTTTGCAGTGCAGCTAAAAAAACTCCATGTGCTTTTCATTTGCATTTGCTGAAGCATGAGATCACATCTTATTTGCACCATAGACGTATCTGTGAAGTACACTTTAGTTTCCAGCTTGACAAATTTGGCCTCTGTGGTTTTTATACTCACAAGACTTGCTTTTAAATGTGCAATTTAATGAAGACGTATCAGGTATTACTGTTGACCTATAAGCAAATGATGGCAGTCAACCAAAAAGGTGGTCAATTTGCCACTAAAGGCCACTGTTGTAGTAAAACTTATGAAAATTTTGAATGTAAAGCACATGGGAACAAATGACAGGTTCAAAAGTGTGATAAGTCCCTGCAAACATTTCCGTCCGGGAACCAAGCCTTTCTGGGTGGGAGTGATCTTTTCTGTCCCTCAGGCTCCTAAAGGTATTATGAAATGATTTAATATCTGAGATGGTGGTCTAGATAGACAGCAATTATGACAGCCTTTTATGAATACATAAGAGAGGATGCCGCTAGTTTCATAATGCCATGTGCTCAAAAGGAGGGATTAATGTAAAATAGACAACAGACACTGAAAGGACAGTGTCATGCTGCTAATATTCCACTCACCTTCTATGACCTGTTAATGAAATTCAACAGTATTTGCATTGTCCAACCATGCACTTAGCCACTTTCAAGTCGCACTGTAATGGGATCTTTGCATGTAAATGTAACATGCACATTAAAAAGGATTCTAGGATTTAATACTTGTGTTTGACCTGTAGTATATGTGCTATGTGGCAGGATGAGCAGGAAGTTTGTGATGGCAAGTAGAGGGAGGAGAATTCAGGTGAGGATTTGCATAGCTCTGCTGTCTGTAGAGGACACCTTCCCCATCAGCTCTGAGCTCCAGTAGAGGTTTATACTCAGCATTGAAGGAACTGAGTGAGCAGGATCACACTTCAAGAACTAGTGGCACCAGGTAAGGACAGAAGATGCTTTAACAGTCTTTAATTTTCCATTTTATGGTTGTAGTTTGATATTTAGCCTTGCAAATAGTTAGTTTAGTGCATTAGGCTCAATCACGTTTAACATTTATGCATTTGGCAAATTCTTATATCCTTGCAAGTGGAAGCAAAGTATACATTATACCAGTCTGTGCACTCAAACCCAATGATTTTGATGTCGCTATAACACCAAGTTCTGTTTAAGAAATCTGCTTTACCAGTGAAATTATGTGCAACTTCCATCGTTTGTTTATACCTGTCCGCTTGTGGGTTAAAATCTGCCTAGTTTAAGATCTGAAACTCCATAAACTGGCAGTGCTGCTACCGCTGGGAATGGGTCGTCATGTCAAACCGTGGGCCAATCAGATGTATCCCTGGGCTCTGCGTGCTGGAGCCTAAATTAGGTCATGATCTTAATAAGTATTGTCGCACTGTGATTCTCTGACTGCATGGAAGAGAGCAGGAGAGGACCTTACAGAGAATAGGCAGGGCTTTTGACTGGCCATCATAGTAGAACACAAAGCAGTGAGGAGGTGTGGACCTCACGCTGGCAGCTGAACAGGTAAGGGCACAGGGGGGTCAAGATATCAGTGTCCTGTGTCGTACAAAGATCAAAGTCTATTCATCTATCAACAGTCACTCTTTCTGAACTCTCTGTTTTCTTCCATTTTCATTATGTGATCTAGTAATGCTGTAATTTGTACATTCTCTCTTAGGTTCAGGCATATTGGGGACATTTCAATCTAGGTCTCCTAAATATACCCACTTAGCACACATTTATACATATATGCAAATATGCATCGTACACAAGCTTGGTGGCCATTTAAAATTTTTACATTTTAAATCGATGCTGTTGTAATTCTGTGTTTCTGGTGGGCACATCGAGTTAGGTCCAAAAAGTCTAAGATGACTAGGCTAAGTTTATTTATTTATTTATATAATTAATATAAAAACAGGATATATATATATAAACCAGTAATATTTAGATTTTCCATATATTGTCATATATAATTACTAATTAATTTATTAATAATATAAATAAACTTGTTTTATAAATAATTGAATAACATAATATATGATATGTGCAGTATATTATTTATTTTAGGCAAATGTATTCATATTACTAAATATGAATACAATAAAATAAAATAATTCTAATATAAAATGTATTATAAATATGAAATAATATGAAATAAGTTTATTGTAAGTATGTATGTATATATGTTTATGTGTGTGTGTTAGATAAACAGATATTAAAAAACAAATATTTTATGTTATTATTATTATTATTATTATTAATCATTAGATTCTGTATTTCATATTTCAATCTTATATTCATATTAAATAAAATTTTATGTATATCAAATAAATACATAAAATATTATTAATATCATCGCCAAGTTTTTAATAATATAAATTAATCATTTTTATTCATATAAATAAATAATCATGTTTTTCAGCATGATTTGAAAATGATCCGAGGACCATCTTGTTTAAATGGAAGCAAAAATATCTTAACATTTGTATGAAGGATTCACTTGACCAGGGTCAAAAATTTGACATAGAAATAGTGCTTAATATTTCTTATTCATTTTAATATTCTTATTCAACACTTTTTACAATTTGAATCCCAGATTCTCACTTTACAGATGTTTGGACCCCACTGCATGTGTATATAGTAACAGGACTGTGAATGATCATAGCTTCTGTGAAGTGAACAGTCAGGGTGGACAGAAAGCAGGTCCCCTCTGTGTATCACACTACTATTTATAGTGTGAACAAATCCCAGATATGAGCGGAATCCCCTGCTCCTCTACAGCCTGGAGTGAGGGACAGAAAGAGTGAGAGAGAGAAGGTGTTGAACAGAAACAGAACCGGACCACAGAAGTCAAGACCGCTTTAGTCCATTAAGGGAAAGACAGAAGAGAGAGAGAGATTGACATTTGTCCTGTCTGTCTCACAGCGGGGAACAGCGGTTTACTGTTACGCCAGCAGGTATGCAACTTTTAAGGACAGAGGGAGGATGTGTATGTGTGTGTGTGCGTGTGTGCGTGTGTGTGTTCATCTGCATGTGTGTGAAATATCAGTGTTAAGGTCACAATAGATACATTAGACTGCTTTTCTTTTAGGTAAATTATGCCAAATAGTATTATGATGATATAATGACACAAATAAAATTTGTTTAAATCAGAACATTTCAAAATTGACCTTTTTAGACTGACCTTTCCTTTAGCTTCCTCTAAAAGTGCACTCATTCTTACTAATTTCATATGATTTATGTATATGTTTTGTTTGCGTGGGACTCTGTGATAATGACTCAGGCATCTGGCAGGATTCGGGCCTACATAACTCACTCTAAAACAACAGGCCGGTTTAATATGAACCGTAACTGTACTTTTACATAAGCATTAGCATTCTGTGATGATACACATGTAAATTATATATTTTTTTCTGTCTTGTGGTTTTGGCGCAGGAAATTCAGATTGCATCTAAACATAGGATTGTGATGACGTTTGATGATTTACATAATAAACAGAGTTATTACGAATAATACATGCACTGAATTTGATGAACAAACTATTCAAACTTTTGTTGAACGTTTTGAATATCAAATACACTTTTTTTTTTTTTATAAAAGAGAAAATCTTGTCAGACCGGTTGGAAAGGTCTAGAACTTCTGGGAGACTTCCAGTCATAGTGGGAATTGAATGCAAATAAATTATGCCTGTGAAACCATTGTGGGAGTTTTTGAAGATGCAATATTCAGTGTGAGATTTCAGGATCTGGTGGAGTTTGTGATATACTGTAGGTGGTTAAATTTAGAGTTTGAGATGGAAGGTAATAAATCTAGAAACTTAAAACACCATTTGTTTTTGCCAGAGGTGATTTGGTCCTAGTTTTATGCTTTTTTTTAGATACTGACATTTAGTTCAATCTTTGACTGATATTTTGGGCATTGAGGAGTTTTAGAAGGGTATTTTGGTGGAGTGTTGGACAGCTGGTCTGTTGCTCTTTGAAAGGTAAATTTAGCTCAACACTCGGCAGCAGTGACTCCACACCACTAGTACTAATGCACTGCTGTTGATGTGCAAACAACATCCCTGGTTACGGTTGCTAAGGTTGTGAACCCTACCAATCCTATAGCTGCCCCACCGAGACCTGTATTAAGTTAAAAAAGGAGGGAGACGTTGAAAGACAGAAAGTTTTGATATGAATATTGCAGATGCATTACCATGCATGCTGGCTGTAGTACTCAGGAGGATTCCTCTTATATCCCAGGTGTTCTCAGCGGGACGTTCCATCAGCAGCATAACCGAGCAAATTACAGGCAGAAAGCTCCCTGCGAGCACATAATCAAAGCTCATCTGCCTACAGCTGTGTTCATTAGGACACTGGATGAATTTACATATTTCCGAACAGCTTTCTGTCAGAGACACAAAACGAGTCATTCAACATGCAGTCTCCTCTGTTTGAAATGTGAAGGTGAAATGTGTTTGTTTCCGCTTCGGATTGTGCTGTCAAGTATGTAAATGTCTTCTTTTTAAATTTCCCTCCAGGTCATTCTTAGGAAATGCTGCTTTCTCATTGCATGTCCTTATTAGTTTTATAGAATAATACCAATAACATAGTATAAATACACAGATAAATATAATATTTTCATACATACATACATTATATATATATATATATATATATATATATACATTCTCAAATATATATTATAAATATAAATTATTAATTGTGATTAATCGCAGTTATATATATGTGTGTGTGTACTGTATATGTGTAAATTATTATAAAAAATATAATTCTTCTTTAAAAAAAAATACAGAATTTGATATTCTTTCTGATTTTTCAAAATAAAGCTATTCATTTTTTTTATTTTTTTTTGCAGACCATAAATCCCATAATGTTCAAATGATATTAAATCTGATACTGATAATGCATATGATAAATATTAATTGATAATAAATAATGATGGCAATGATAAATATCCATTGAGACTACTTTGTGAGTCTCTAACTAAACTATTAATCTGGATATTTATTTATTTATTTATTAAAGAATGAGTGAAATTATAGCAGTGGCTTTCTTCTAGACAGGAATGAGACCCAATGAAGACTTTTGCTTAAACCTCTATTCTTTTTATAATAGTTCTCTTAAGAAAAAAATATAGTAATCTTGTTTTTAAGAAAATGATCTGAACCGTCACCAACTAAGCTTAGATACACCAAAATATGAAAGTTCAGTACAAACTCTAATTGTTTCTCTTTGAATTTATCTTATAACGTGTTTGGAGAATCATCTGAGACAAAATTCCTATTTCAATGAAGCATATCAGATTTTTTTCACTTTCAAGTCTCTCTGAGCTATTAATGAGCAGCTATTTATTCATTTACAATATCAGTAGACATTCCACTTTATGTTTCATATCCAGTATAAAGAGTGTGTAGGTGTGTGTTATCCCAGCCCTGTTCTCTCCATGTTAACATCAATAATTCAGGGGTAAGAGCTGCTACCTGCTCCTCACTGCAGGAGTCACTAAGCAACTGAAAGACTATCCACGGGCACCTGAGAGCCGCAGGGGGCTTTACTTTTCCCCGGCTCTCTGTAACATACATACACATCACTGCAGACGAAATACATGCATTCAAACCCACACCAGGCCGCTCTGCCCATCTGATCAATGCATTCGGTCTCTTTCTGTCTTTTCTACAGCAGGAACGTGGACACAACTGCACAGAATGTCTAAACAGCAGTCATCCAATGTAAAAGCCCTGCAGGTGAGTATTGTGTGTTTTTTATTCGTATGTAATTTAAGAATAGCGTACAGTGTGAGTTTTAAACTTCTGTATTGATTTTATTGGCACTCAAATGGTTCCCAGGGTGCTTTTCTTTACTCAAAAACACTCAAACATGTCAACATTAAATATTTTAATCTGAAAAGCCAGTTCCCTATTTTGAACACTGAGTAAAAACACATTTCAATGTACATTGCATTACAGTACTCACACAAGGCCATTCACAAGTACATGAAATACATTATGGTGTTGATGTGTGTTCAGCTTTTTCTTCTTGGTAGGAAAACATTTCTTATCCAAACAGAAACAATTTATATAAAAATAGACTTGTACACTTTAATTAAAGTCCTTACAGCCATTTTCCTATTGCTAACCGGTATACAGTTGAAGGGAAAACCTGTGGTTTTGCATAAATTGATGAAAATGTGATCTGAATGTGAAGTCTGCTTAAACAAACAACCGCAAACAATGATATGTTTTCATATTTTTATTTTACACACTGGCAAAGTATGTTTTAATATCTGGTTAAATGTCCTTTGGCAGCGTAAACCTCCATAAAACATTCCTTTGTGTTCAAAAAAAGACATGAAAATTTATACTTTTTTTATTTGTATATTGAGGTGACATAGGTGAAGATCAGATCACGTTATGACTAATTTATGCAGAAATCCAAAGGGTTCACATACTTTTTCCCCCTGCAACTATACGTCTGGCTAGGAGCAATAACGTAGACAGAAAGAAAGATTTTCAACAGTTCACCACAGTGTAGAGAACAATTTTTACAAACACTGAACACTTCAGCCAAAAATAGACACCTTCATCTTTCCATAAAAACTCTCCATATACACATGAATCCATAAAAAGCCCAAGCATACACAAGATTCAGTATACGGTCCATCAGAGAGCACAGACAGAAGGAAGACTGGTCATGCATGCAAAGACAGGAGCACATGGTCACTACTGTACAGCCTAAAACAGCCAACAATCAGATTTCATCCAGCAGCCTATACAGATGGAAAGCCAGAGAAATGAAAGAAGGAAACAGTGAAAAAGAGAAGAAACTCAAGGGTTTGATGTACTGGACCATGAAATACATGCAAAACTGGAGTAAAGCCAAATCCTTAAGAGCGTTCGGGATTGGTTGAGAGATGTCACGTGCTCTAATCGAAACACTAAATTGCAAAATTGTAAATTGAGTGTTTGACCTTGTGTGTCCAAGAGCAGGACAATAATTTATAAAAAGAGGCAGAAGAGATAAAAACAAGTGTTTGCGGATTAACATGGAAATTTAAAAATAATTAAATAAAAAGCCAATTTTGCTGATTATTTTTATTATAATTAAACATTTTCCCCTCCAAATTTTCATTACCACAATGCAACAAAATTACCATTCTCTTTTATTTTTGCTGAAAATATATTTTATATTATATATTTATATTTAGAGTATATTATTTTAAATTTATAATTAGTATTACATTTAATAAACAAAATATAATTATTTAATAAATAAAACAGTTGGATAACAGTATTAAAGGGGTCATATGATGCGATTTCAAGTTTTCCTTTCTCTTTGGAGTGTTACAAGCTGTTCGTGAATAGATAAGATCCCTAAAGTTGCAAAGACTAAAGTCTCAAATCCGAGATATTCTTTATAAAAGTTAAGACTTGTCCAAGCCCTCCTAAAATGTCTCGTTTAAACACACCCCACATGTCTACGTCACGATGTGGGAAGATTTGCATAACACTGCCCAAATGTTCACGTAAAGAAAGAAGGCGTAACTTTATTGTTGCTGCCACCGCTGCCATGTTGTGAAGACGCTGTGTGTTTCGTTGTGAAAGCGAAAATACTTTGTTTGGTCTTCCAAAAGAGGACACGACTAGAAATCAGTGGTTAAGTTGTATTTACAACACTGTTCCAGAACACTTCAACACAAATATTCAGATGTGTGCAGCATTTTATGGAGGACTGTTTCCTGATCCTGGTAGAGTAGACTACAATGCCAGCTGTTCTGACTCACAGACTGTAAGTACGTTTTCATATTTAAAGAATTTGCCACTGATGATTCAAACGCGAGTTTTGAGCAGTGTAGAGTAGCACTTGTTGTTTGTCGTTTCTCCGATCACAAATGCAGACATGGTTTTATGTTTACGCGGCGCGATGCAACGCAACGCGTTAAAAGACAGTATAAGTCATTACAATACATAATTATGTCCCCACTGGATGCAACAAATGCCTCATTTATAATGGGTTTTAATGTTTTTGTCTTGTCGCGCCGGGACACGGCATCACAGTATTGTAAGTGGCGTAACATTTCCATCACACGCTTGAGGTATTCGGCCAATCACAACGCACTGGATAGCTGGCCAATCAAAGCACAGCTCGCTTTTCAGACCGATGAGTTTTGTAAAAATCGAGCGTTTCAGAAAGGCGGGGCATAGAAGAGAAACAATATTGTACAGTATGTGGAAAATAATGTGTTTTTTCAACGTTAAACCGCATAAACACATTTCATTACACCAAATACACAAAATAATGTTCTTTTTAGCAACATCATATGACCCCTTTAATGACTTTAGGGCAGGGGTGCCCAAACTTGGTCCTGGAGGGCCGGTGTCCTGCAAAGTTTAGCTCCAACTTGCCTCAACACACCTGCTGGTAAGTTTCTAGTATGCCTTGATTAGCTGGTTCAGGTGTGTTTAATTGGGGTTGGAGCTAAACTCTGCAGGACACCGGCCGTCTAGGACTGAGTTTGGGCAGCCCTGCTTTAGGGGAAATTAAAATAATTCTACTTTTGCACAATATAATTTCTTTTCTTTTGATTTTGGGGTAAAGTGTGACCTGCTTTCATGAGATTCACCAAAATGATAGGATGGTTGAGAAAATAGTAATATATAAGAGAAGAGATGTAGCAACAATCCATGTACTTTCCTTCTAATGTAAAGCTGTAAACACATTTAGCCTACATTTTCACATTTGGACTTTGTTTTTGTAATACATGCTGCGTTTAGATGCCACATAATAAAGACTAAAAAAGACAGGCTGTCTGCGTCGGGCCTCAGCAAACAGAAGGATGTCTGTCATCCCACTGTTTTATCAGTGTTGCCCGCAGCTCATTTTCATACAGGCACTTTGCTCTTTATGAAATACAAACTCCAGCAGGAAGACACGTCCAGCAGGTTTTGTGGAAAGGTTTGGTTTCGACAACTACGCTTGACCATTGCACAATATTACGTGAGCTTAAATGACTTTGGTACTGTGGTGATTGGATTATAGGTGCGGTTGCAGGAGGAAACGAGCAGTGTCAGGGGTGGTTTCACCTCAGCGCTCTGTGAGATGTAGCAGCGATGGTAACCGTCTCATTGGATTTTCTTGTCTGTCTCGAAGGCCAACCTTAATATTCCGATGGGGGCTCTGCGTCCTGGGGCGGGACATCCTGTGAAGAGGAGAGAAGATACAGTAGATGCAGAGGAGGTCAGACTCTGCTGGAAGAAAACTCACATACACACATTTACACCATTTTATAAATAAACAAATTAGACACACATAGAGACAATTGTAATCATGTAACCAGATCACATTTAAACGTAAGTAAAAAATAAATAAATAAATAAATAAATATATATATATATATAAGCTATCTTATTTTTGTACCATTTAAATTTTCTTTTTCAATCACACACACACACACACACACACACACACACACACACACGAAGGCCAACCTTAATATTCCGATGGGGGCTCTGCGTCCTGGGGCGGGACATCCTGTGAAGAGGAGAGAAGATACAGTAGATGCAGAGGAGGTCAGACTCTGCTGGAAGAAAACTCACATACACACATTTACACCATTTTATAAATAAACAAATTAGACACACATAGAGACAATTGTAATCATGTAACCAGATCACATTTAAACGTAAGTAAAAAATAAATAAATAAATATATATATATATATATATAAGCTATCTTATTTTTGTACCATTTAAATTTTCTTTTTCAATCACACACACACACACACACACACACATATATTTATTTATTTATCAAATTTTTCAATACGAACATATCCAATTCTGTAATATAATTGATATTATTTATCAGATCTACATTATTCCTAATAATGATTCTCATTAGAATATTATTAATGTGATGCATTAAAATCAACATGATCAACATAATTACTATCATTTAGTAGCCTACTAATAAACAATTTTAATAGACACTTTTTGCACACAGTAATGAAAAGTAATGAAGAAAGAAAGTAAGAAAGAAAGAAAGATTTTTTTATTACTAAATAGCAACAGACAGATGTTGCACATTGTTATTAATGTGTTAATTGATGTAATGTGTGGACAATTTTTACAATGTTTATTTAAATGACAAGTACTATAAACTATTTAAATATGTTTTTCTTATATTTAGTAATAAGAAATATGCTTAGATCTGCTTTACGATAGTTTTTTAATCACAAGAAAACAGAACTTTAAAAATGTTTTAAATAAGAATTAATGGGCAAATCATAAAATGTCAGAAAACAATATTGATATCACACTGTGCTCCAGAAATAAGCTTTATTTTCATTTGTTAATTTTATTTATTTAAAATTAAGTTTATTCCTTCTTTTTATTTTGTGAGTAAAATATGACACATTCTTGAGAGATTTTGTGAGGGCCACTCAGTAACATCTCTCACAATTGGTTTCATAGGCGTCCCCAGTGACTCCAGAGGAAAAAAAGGCCCTGCCTGGTGCTGTGAAACTACCGGGCCCCGCCGTCGACCTTTCCGAGCTCCAGAACGTAAAGAGTGAACTCAGATGGGTCACCAAGGACTAAACAACACAGGTAAATCTGACAGTCAAATACACACTCTCACCCATTTTTTCCCGTCTACCATTTTTGGTTAGTCAAACAATTTTGGTGGTTGTCAATCTTATGTACACACACACAAATAGGAGCAGGAACAAAAGAGCAATAATTTTTCTAAATGCGTCACATCACTGAAATCATCTAGAAAGGCTCCATGCTGTTCACATAAATGACCACATGGTGTCAGTACCTGTAAAAGTAGTTTGCGCGTGTGTTAGTGTGCATGGAGAAGGGGTATGAGCATGAATCAGGCTCTATAAATACCCCACAGGTCAGTGGGGCAGTGAAAGTCTGTCTGTTGTGTGCAGTCCCAGCATGCCTCACCAGACCTCTCAATTATAGAGCAAAACATGCGCTGTGACCCACTCCGCAGAAATACAAACAGAATTTCCTAAGCAAACTACAAACTACCTTGAGATTACGCGTTTTTAATGCCAGTGAACCCATTTAACTAGTAAATTTTGGTGGTTGTCAATCTTATGTACACACACACAAATAGGAGCAGGAACAAAAGAGCAATAATTTTTCTAAATGCGTCACATCACTGAAATCATCTAGAAAGGCTCCATGCTGTTCACACAAATGACCACATGGTGTCAGTAGCTGTAAAAGTAGTTTGCGCGTGTGTTAGTGTGCATGGAGAAGGGGTATGAACATGAATCAGGCTCTATAAATACCCCACAGGTCAGTGGGGCAGTGAAAGTCTGTCTGTTGTGTGCAGTCCCAGCATGCCTCACCAGACCTCTCAATTATAGAGCAAAACATGCGCTGTGACCCACTCCGCAGAAATACAAACAGAATTTCCTAAGCAAACTACAAACTACCTTGAGATTACGCGTTTTTAATGCCAGTGAACCCATTTAACTAGTTCTTCTCATTTTCACAGGTGACTCCGCCCCCATTTTATCCAAGGCTTTGGTCGCCATCCAATCAGGTTCATGTATTTACCACAACTCCCAGAGAATCGGTCGCAAAGGAATCAATGACAAGCCTTAATGATGACACTACCTACTGACCCGAGAATAATTGACTTGAGATTACACGTTTTTAATGCCAGTGAACCCATTTAACTAGTTCTTCTCATTTTCACAGGTGACTCCGCCCCCATTTTATCCAAGGCTTTGGTCGCCATCCAATCAGGTTCATGTATTTACCACAACTCCCAGAGAATCGGTCGCAAAGGAATCAACGACAAGCCTTAATGATGACACTACCTACTGACCCGAGAATAATTGAGGGGGTGGATTCTATCAGAGCAAAGACTGATGGGAATTGAGCAACTCGAAGCTCTGAACCAGGGCTTAGTCTGTCTAAAATAGGTCACCACTTTTTAAAGCTCCCTGTATGCTATTCTGTATTTTGTTTTAAAATGTACTGTGTTTAACTTAAAGGGATAGTTCACCCAAAAATGCATATTCTGTCATCATTTACTCACCCTCACGAGTAAACTATCCCTTTAAAGTTTGATTTTATAGATGTTCTGTATTCTCCTACTACCATCAATGAATCATAAAACAGAATATATGAGACTGAAGACATTAGCTAGTATGATTCATCTTAAAATTCCTCCATTCTCCTTTAAAAAAGCCAGATTGTGTCTTAAAACATCTCGAACAAATGTGACACTATAAAATCAATTTTCTTTTAATGTATTTTACGTCTAGAAGATTAATATGCAAATAATTGCTATAAATTTGATTAATTAGTCAGAATGTCATGCATTTAATTTGATTAAGTTTCCTCCGATTGACAGCCCTACTTAAAATGCCTCATGCTGCAGGCTTGTTTTCACTCCCTACACATCTCTTTCTTTATCTAAGGCTTTGTTCTTGTGTTGCAGTACATAAGTAGGCTGTTGCATAATAAAACATGATTTCACGTTCTCTCCAAGAGCAAACCTGTAGGAGGAAGCCAGCACTTGTTATCCTTGAACAAATAGAACTGGATTTCAAATGCCGCACCATCGGTTTATGTACATAAACTGGGATCAGTTTAACAGTGTAAAGCTGCTTGTCTCCTCACTTGTAAATCACATCATATGTGTCTGTACTGCTCTATGATCTAGTTTACTAGCAGCAGGTGTCATGACCTTTGAGTGAAAGTGTCCTTATTAAAGATCATGTCATGTATTGCTCCTTAGTGTCAGTCTGCATTGAGAGCTGGGAAACACATGCATTTATAATTCAGATAAATTGTCTACATTCTTTCATTTGTAAGGCTCTATTTTCTGTAAGGCTGCTTTGAAACAATGTATGCTGTGAATTGGATCATGAAGTGAAAGACAAGCAACCAACAAGTGTCCAGTGTACATTGAAATACATTCAAACCTGTTGGAAAAGCTTCCCAGGATGCACCTCATGGTTGAGAGAATGAGAGACTGTGAGTACATTGATATAACAGGACCTATCAATCATGTGAAATTGGAATGGACTATTTTTTTGGATTAAGCATCTGGCAGTGGTGCCTGGAACACAGAGAGAGTGAGCAGCTGTCTAACTAATCAACAAAGCCTTCATAATTCCCTTATTACCCACAATGCAATGCAGAGTGAGCCTGTAGTTCTAAAACTTTTTAACCGAGAAGCTCAGAATTCCTAAACTTCCATCGATTTCTTGATACAGTTGTCTTTTCTGCTACCATATGCTTTCCATCATACATTTCAGATTGTATATCTATAAAATGTGCATGTTAATTCAAAGGAATTTCTCACCTGTAAGCCTTATGTACACCAGATAATATCAAAATAATTCACCATGACCACCAGAGCCAAACAAAACCCATAACAGGGAGAACAGACACTGTTATATTTAGAACGCCACTCAGGTCTGACAGCATTCTGGACTGATGGGTCAAAACAGGGAGACCAGAGAGTCTGAAAGTGACTGAACACATAAATCAGTTGTATCTGCAATTAAATGCACCCATCAGATGTAAAATTGTTCATCATAAATAGTAAATATAGATTTTGTAGTGACAGATGAGAGCATGATCCTGCAAAGGATATTCAAGCATGCATGCAATGAAGTGGATTCTGGTTTTGTTGATGAAATATAAAAAGTGCAGCATAACTAATGCATCTAATTTAGAGCCCTGAAGTTGTAACGTGCGTTTAAATATATCCACCGATGCACAACGAGCTTGAGTGAAAAGACATGTAAAGGTCCCTAAAAGGCCAATTACTTGTTTTAAAGCGACAATCCAAAGGGGTTGTAAGGTGAGCACAGGATTTGGCAGTACAAACAGTGAGTCTACAAAATCACTTCCTTGAGCACACACACAAGCACGCCCCTCTATGATTCATCATGACCCGTTGCAGTTACACTTGAGTGCGAATGCATTCACAAGTATCTCCAGTTACCAATTACCTCGTAGATGTGTTGTATTGCAAATGCTCTAAACAGTGGAGAAACCAGCACGATCATGAGCAGAGGGTGTGAGAATGTAACCAAAAGCTCTATCATAATCACCCCTCGCTCTTATGTTTAATAACCCCTCCCCGCAATCTAGCCTGATGCTGCCCTATCCCAGCTCTGAGCCAGCAGCTATTCAGGGAGGATGAAGGGTATGATGTTCACGAGGTTGGGATGTGTCCTTTTCTGTGGATCACACTTACACAGTACAAGTCTATAAATCAACCTCACTCTTCAGTGATTGTAAACAATCTTTATTTATTTGTCTTTGTGTCTTCCTGACTGAATAATCTTCCAGTCGTTCTCATTGTCCTCTAGGCAAGATTCTCATTCTCATTTCTCTTTTCTGGCTATAGACTGTGTCCTGACTGTCCCTCTGATCAACTGAGTTTCTATTCCTGTCACCTTGGTGAGATATGACTTCTGGTGGCAACAGACAGAAATCCACAGTGCTGACTAACTCCCTTATTTATCAAGAGATGACCTCAGATCTGCATATCATAATAAACCCCCAGCCTGATCCCTCCCGCTCTGTGTTCCCATCTAGTTAAATGGAAAGGGCAAATAGCTCGAAGTTGTGTTTACCCCCCGTGGCCCCAAAATGTCTGCCCATCATTCTCCCCTCCCTTCTAGAGATCTGGAAGAAAACACATGCCTATCTTGTTGAGGCAAAAGGTTTGTCTGCCCACTGGGTGGAGGAGAAATGGTTGACCCTCCCCTTTGCACTTACGCATTTGATGCCAGCAGAAGTCATGGACCACATCCCAACAGACGCGGATGGTGTACTGACCTTTTTATTTTCTTCTGTCTTCTTTAATCTCTACAACTTTTGCAGGAGGAAGTCGACTTAACCTTCTCTTTCTTTACTCTTCCTTTTGTGCTTTGTCTTACATTAATTCAGTCCTAAATTCCCTGGACTCCCTTATCTCTCTCCCTTCCTCTCCTAGTGATGAATTACTACCTGACGCTCAGCAACAGTCATGGAGAAGGTGTTTTGTCTCGGTACCAGAGCTTGCGTCTGGAGGGTCGAATGTGTGATGTTGTTTTAGAGGCAGAAGGTGTGGAGTACCCTGCTCATCGCAGTTTGTTAGCCTGTTCCAGCGACTACTTCTGGTCCGTGTTTCAGGACTACACTCTGGAATCCGGTGCCCGTACTATCAGCTTGCCAGCCTTGTCATCTCTGGGCCTGGAGCAAATACTGGACTTTATCTACACCTCATGGATCGCACTGTCACCCTCCACTTTGGAGGTCACACTACAGGCTGCCTGCTATCTACAGATCACCCATGCTGTGGATCTTTGCACTCGGTACATCTCTGAAAGCATTGCTCCTGACAACTGCTGCTTTTTTGCGAACATAGCAGCTCGCTACGGCCTTTCTGAAGCATTCGATGACAGCAACTCTTTTATTGGCAGTAACATGTGCAGAATACTTACATCTGAGGAATACAAGGCTGAGCTAATGGAGGTAAACATTGATTCTCTGCAAGAGGTGCTCGTAGCTGAGGAGATGCCGGGAGTGAAGGAGATAGACCTTCTGCAGCTGGTTTTGGATTGGCTAGAGTGCAACCCACAATCTGCCTTGCAAAGTAATGCATTGCTCAGTCGGATCCGATTTGGTTTGATTCCACCTAAAGAGCTGTCTCAACTCAGTGCACTTAAACCTGCTCTATGTACACCCTTCGTCCGCAGTGTAGTGCAGAAAGCACTTAACTACCACCTTCAGGGTCCCCTACAGCCTCTACTACAAAGTGTCCACACCAGCCTAAGAGTCACAAAGAGCAAGATTCTTCTGGTGGGAGGAGGACCAGAGGCAAACAGGCCCCAGAATCAGATCCTAACCTACGAACCTCGCAGTAAGAAATTCCAGCCGCTCTCGACATCCCTGCCAAATAAGCTACAGCACCAAGGAGTATGTGTTGTTGGGAACTTCCTTTTCATACTAGGTGGTGAGGTGGTGCATGTGGATGAGGAGAACGAGAAGAGTGCTGTGATGACTGTGACTGACCAGGTGTGGCGCTATGACCCACGGTTTGAGCAGTGGGAGGAGATGGAGCCACTCTTGCAGAAGAGGGCACAGCTTGCCTGCTGTGTCGTGGAAAGTGTTATATTTGCTATCGGTGGATGGGGCCAGAGGGGTGAGCCTGTTTTGTCATCTGTGGAAAGGTACAATATGAGGGAAGGGTGCTGGCGCAGTGGCGTATCCCTACCGTATTCAGTTTATGGGCATGCCTGCGCCACTGTTGGAACAGGAATCTACATCTCAGGCGGCATCCACGTCAACAACCCAGAGAGTAGCAAAGAAGTGCTGTTTCTGAATGCCGTTAAAGGGTATGCCTGGCAGAGACGTTCTAACATGTCCATTGCCAGATTTGGCCACCAGATGGCAACAGTGATGGGAAGAATTTACACCTTTTTGGGAATGTATGAGCCCTTCTGTGACATTGAACGCTACAGTCCTGAGCAAGACCTGTGGACCCGTCTAAAACCCCTACTGAATGATCGATTCTGCTATGGTTTGACCACAACAGGGAGCAGACGTGTGCTTATGTTCGGTGGGAGAAAATGGCAGGAAGGACAGGAGGTGTGTACAACAAATGTGCTGGAGTACGACACGGAATATGATGCCTGGAGAGAAGTGTGTAAACTACCAGAACCCTTGTGTGGGATTCGGTGTGCCATAATGACTCTTCAAGAACCTCCGGAGACCTAAAAGTCAATTACAAACACCATCCCACATACACACAGACAAACAGATGGCTGTCATGGGGCAGAGAGAGTTGAAGGACAGGGGTTATCTTTGTGTCATGGATCCATGAATTATAACGTGGCAGGGAAAACAGGATTTCTATTTACCCAGATATAGAAGACCTTGGTGGGGGCATAATTCTGTTAAGTGTTTTACAGCAAGCAGTAAGGAGCTCCTGAAACTAGGTCACTATGAATAGGGTAGAGAAAGTCATGACATTGATAGATGACTTGTCATAAAGATTTTGTCCTGAGAAATGGCATAGATCCTCTAAGGACACCGTAGAAAAGGACAGAACTAAGAATGGAATTTCAGACCACTGCACACTCTGGTCATTGCATCTTGAAAGGCGTAAAGAAAGGACAGACAAACAAATGGAAAAGTAATCTACATAAGGACAAATTTGGACAAGATCTGACTATTTGGCACTACGTGAGGATCAAAGGTGACAGTCATAATGTCTTATGACAGAGAGACAGCTGCCATGAATGTTGGATACAGACTGTGAAAGGAGGCTACACTCACAGACGCTGAGCGAGAAAGCCAAATTAGACCATTGATTTGGAAGGGTGCATGGGAAGTCAAAGTGGGCAAGGACAAGTATCAAGATCATTGAGTTTGTGTGGGATGCAGCTGAGCCAAAGGAGGGAGGATGACAAGATTTTTAGTGAGCAATGATAAACAAAACTGCAGTCACACATACAGTATATCTGACAACTCAGGCCATGCATGGAAATCTAGATTACTCAACACAGATAATATAGTGTCATTAGAATACCAATATAAATTAAAGTGAACTGCAAATACAGTAGTTCAGCAGAAATCTTGTAAAACAGTGAGATACACATCAGTAGCAGTAACTAGACTGGCATGTATTTCATCATATATTTCATAATATATAATTTTAGATGTAGTAGTAACTATTTCTGGGTTATATAAAAATAAATAGCCTTGGTTTTGTAAAATGAATACTGTTGACATAATTCTACAAATGAATCAATGCAAATGAGTAGCTAAGACGGAAAAGCATAAATAAAAGATTTTACTGCTAAAAATTAATTTTGCAGCTTGTGAGTTTCTTTAAAGTCTTTTGTACTCATTTATTGCCAACACAAATTTGTTGGTAATAATAGAAAATTAGTGAGATTTGAGTATGAGCAGCCTAACCTGGTTTGCCAATTAGACTAATGCTGATTAGAAAATCAGATTTTCCCTTCTGAACTGCCCAAAGAAAGGAAACCCATTGTCACCCCAAGACTCAGAACAAAACCCAACAGTTCATCTCCATTCATTTTTGTAAGCTGAGTCCATTACCTTCACTGAATAGCCTGGAAACCAGCAAGCTTCTGAAAGAAAAAAGCTTTCTAGGATATGTACACGGGCATCTATTTTAACCACCCATTGGAGAAAGGTGCCCTTACTCATTGCTCGACAGGCTGCCGAGCTCTCAGGCGATTGTTTATTGTCAGGCACTCACCTTTAAGCCAAAGATGGCAACATCCACGTTGGAAATGGCAGCTGAGAAACTGCCATTGATGAATGGGAATACTAAAAGATAGCTTTCTCCAGTTAGAATATAAACTTATAGGATTCACCAGCCTCAAAATTCGAGCCTCATTTAAGTGTAAATATCAAGCATATAAAAAAAATCCATATAAAATGCAAAACATATAGCATGATTACATCCATAAAAGTTTATTGACTCTAGGTATAACCACACTGAAATCTGGAGAAAGCAACAAGTCTCTTTTTAAATAATGTAATAAATAAAGTAAACTTGACCAGGTTGTACTCTAAACACAACACATAGGAAACTGCACTGCCCAAATTACATGCCCTACTCATAATAAAGACAGGCAGCAGCACAGATATTGATGAACTTGAATGTTTTACGTCAACTTTGTTAAAAACTGGGCTCCTAAAGAAACATAACATGGTTTTCACTAAATTAAGAATAAATTTGATATATTACTAAAGTAAAATACCAATAGACATCCATTCTAGCTATAAATCCACTGGTAATCACTTTCTCGAAGAGCTAATGCATTCCCATGATTCCCATGGATACATCAGCACCTGAGTCACTCTCTGAGTCAAAATGAAGCTAATACTGTCTTAGATTACATACAGAATGAAATGTGCTCCATTATGTCATACCTGAAATGTCAATGTACATCATATAATACACATCTTAACATACAATAAACTCTCTTCTGAACATTCAGCGTGTTCTTAAAAATCTCACATAAAGCATCTTGGTGTCTGCTGAGCGCCTGAGTGCTTCTTGGTCTGCACGGCCTTCCTGACAGCCGAAACACTGACATTAAATAATTTGGCAGCTTCGGTTTAGAAACAAAAAAACAAATGTGACTGTGGTGTATCTACAAGCCATGCAGCAAGAGTTGTTTTGCTCTGAGAGTTTATAAAGATGGACGACCTCCCGAACTTTGACATACATGTAATTTCAGGAGTCGAGTTGCTGCTTCTGACAGATGCTGGGGTTAGTTCAGGGCAACAGCTTTGATCGGCCGAGCCATGCGACGAGTCCCTGGGCTGAGACCAGCAATGTGTCGTGATGACCACGGCTGTCATAAAAACTCACTGTTGTCTTGACATAAATGTTCCTAAACTAGCAGCACTGTTCAGGACAGCTGCATGGCAGCTTGTAGAAACTGAAAATTTGAATCCAAACAGAGGTATACAATACTGAAACATAACACTATCCTTTAAGTTCTCCTAAACTTTTTGAGTTGAACACAATAGTCCATAAAAATGTCTTTGAGATTAAGCATTAAAAATGAATGGCACACCTTGTGCACAGATACACAATCACTTGTAAGTGCCGTCCCTGCTCACTCAAGGATGCAAATTTTTGCAATAGGAACATCACGTGTAAATCTGTTTTTGATTATGAACTCTCATTTGCGAAGAGACACATAATTTCACCTCATAATATCAGGAAACCGTAGTGAAGAGAGAACTTCCATAATTTGACTCAAGTTACAGAGATAATGCTGCTTCTGGATAATGAAGCCTGTGCAATTTTCTACCAATCAAACCCCACACACTTCACTGAATGCTCATCCGTTATCAGAGGCTGAGTTTGGCAAGGCGTTACACTCTGTCGAGAAGTGTTCACGGCACAGGCACAGAAATTTTCCAGGTTCAAGACAAGATGAATGCTATCTACAGCAATTTTACCATTCTGTCAATTACCACATTCAATTATTTTGACATTTCTAACTGGGACAAGGCAATGGACCACAATAGTCACACACAATATGTAGAAAATTATGTTTACAACATAATTAATTGTGAGTGTCATCTAACACTCTCTTAAAATTAATGTTTAAAAACTATTAACTAAAAATGTTAAAACTAATTTTAAAATGAATATTCATTTTCATACTGCACATTATAATTCTGTGATGCCTAAATTCAATTGTAGCATTTTACAGCACAATATTCAGTTTTTAGTGTTTAATTAAAAAAAAAAAAAATTTATTAGACAAAATTGGATGAAATTTTAATGTAATTTTTTTTTATTATTAGCTTATTGTATCAGCCACAATTTTATGATTTTTGATCTCAGTTCATCTCAAAGTTTCATTTTAAGGCTGAACAGTCAAAACAACATTTCAACCTATTAAACATACTGTAATTGTATGCCGCACAGCCTCATTTTAATTGATCAACATCAAAAACTCATAGATCCACAGGATTTAAACATTATGCATGATAATCATAATAATAAGCATTATTATTATTATTGGAGATGCACTGGTATATAAAAAGTGGCCAATACGAATAAGCCAATAATTATATCTATGTTATGTACAATAATTGATCAAATATAAAAATTATATTCTGTTGTAAATAAATTGAAAGAAAAATCTAAATAAATCACTAATAAAACACTAAAATTTGCTGTTCATTTGCAATCAATGCATTGAATTTATGCATCGCAACATTACAATGTACAACGTAATATCTAATTTTGTCTGCAGTTGACTGATACAATCAAAAAATAATAATATGGTAGACTGTCATCCATAATAGCAGTAATAATATATTTCTTATAATACATAAAACATAGTTAAAACAAATTACAACTGAAATTCCATATCCAATCTTTTATCTCTTAACTGTGTGAAGTCTATAATCTTTGTAACTTTTGTAAGATAAGCACAAGTATACCAGAAAAGGTCTGTTTACACAGAGACAAATCCACCCTCAGGAATTACCAGAAGTTCTGCTCCTAGAAAAGTCTCACAAGGATTTAGACAAATACAATCTGCACATTTCTGTCCATAAAATTGCCTTGCCCCATAGACTTCCATTTGAAGAGCATTACTATGGGTCGAGCCAAAATTACTGACTGTGGAAACTGGCATCGAGCCAAAGGTGCTGTCAATAGAACTGATCTGGTTTTGAACCAGGAATATTCCTTTAAAATAAAACATAGTTAAAACAAATTACAACTGAAATTCCATATCCAATCTTTTATCTCTTAAAAGTCTATAATCTTTGTAACTTTTGTAAGATAAGCACAAGTATACCAGAAAAGGTCTGTTTACACAGAGACAAATCCACCCTCAGGAATTACCAGAAGTTCTGCTCCTAGAAAAGTCTCACAAGGATTTAGACAAATACAATCTGTACGTTTCTGTCCATAAAATTGCCTTGCCCCATAGACTTCCATTTGAAGAGCATTACTATGGGTCGAGCCAAAATTACTGACTGTGGAAACTGGCATCGAGCCAAAGGTGCTGTCAATAGAACTGATCTGGTTTTGAACCAGGAATATTCCTTTAAAGGCCTTTTCTTGGTATATCCAAACACTCTACGGAGATTGTGGTGAGATGAGACAACCACATCAGTGTTCCATGTTCATGCACACGCACACAACTTCCACACAAATGTACAAATGCTATAAGTCGGGGCCAGCCGATGTATAACAGCAAATCGTAAATATATAGTATGATACAGTAGAGTATATAGTATGCTAAAGTAGCATATAAACATGGCAGATAACTTGTGTGATGACCGTCTGTGTGTCCATTGAGAGATTTGCTTCAAAAAGACAGACAAACACAGGTACAGTGTGCCAGTCGGTGTGTTTAGAGTTCGAACGGCACCTCAGAAGTGCATTTCCTCTCAGAGTTCAGTCCGTAGCGTCCATTTCCACGTTCAAGTGCTCTGATTCTACCTCGGCTTCCTGTCTAGTGGTGGTTTGGCCAGGTTTGTTCTCGTGCGACGGCATTGTCTCTCCTTGTCTGAGCCGCTTGGAGGACTTGTAACCACGGCAACCCCGTGTACAGAAGTGGCATGCTCTGAAGCTTGTGGGTTGCGAGTCGAGCCATTGAGAGAGCTTTGTTTGTACAGCTATCTGTGCCTGCGTAAACCATGTTTTTCAAGTATTTAAAAAGCACATGTAGACTGAGTCTGCGATTGCTGTCAGGATGTGAAAGTACAAGCAAAAGTGAGAAGAATTTGTGTTTATGGACCTTAATCAAGGAAGATGCTGTATCAAATTTGACATCAATTAAAACGAGACTGTGAGGCATAAAAGTAGGGCTGCCACTAACGACAATTTTTATTTCGATTAATCTATCGACTAATTTATCGATTAATCTAAATGATTAATTTCCCACAAAAAAAATCAACAATTTTAAAGAACATCTTATTAAACTTGCAACTTTGCCATTCAGTAGTGTACCATAAAAAAGTATAAATGTAAACAAGCCATTGACGAAATGTAAAACTAAAAGAGTAAAAATGTAAACAAACCTAATAAAAATGAAATAATTACAAAATCTGAGAAAGTCAGCATGTTCTTAATGTCAATATATCCACATGTTCTGGGCTTCTGTTCATTACAGCTGTGAGTGCAACTACAAAGGGGAAAAATCTGTTTCAATTAACCCCAAAAGTTGGGTTTTCACATTAAATAAATGCAATGTTTAGAGTCCACTAGAATCAAGTATTAAAATTGTATTATTATTAAAAATTTTAAGTATTAAAAGTACCTTTAGAAATGTGTAAACCAGATTTAAACAGACATCTCCAGGATGATGAAAAAAATGAACAGAGGACTTCAGTAGTGAAACTCCAAACGAAATCCAAATTTCTATGAAATCCTTTTTTAAAGCAAAAGTAAAGTGCAACATAGAGTGCAAGAAGCAAGTGTCCATCTCATAGTCCAAATCACTGAAATCAAAGTTCAGTATTATATTGTAATAATGACAACATGTCCACGTGTTCTGGTCTACTAATAATAAAATATTATAATTAATAATACATTTTTGTGGTAATAAAAATAGATGTAGGCTAAGTGAACAATAGCCTTTAAATTTACTTAAAATACATATTAAAAGTACAACATGTTTAATAGGTTAAAATGTTGGAGACCTTTGTGTCGACTGTTCAGCTTTAAAATGAAAATTTGGGATGAACTGAAATCAAAAATCATAAAATTGTGCCAATAAATATATAGTTCAGTCATGAAACTCTAGATGGCACATTCTGATGGGGTGTTTACGTAATTGAAGATATTCAGAGAGTTAAAAGACTTGGCACAAGCTGATTGGTTCATGCTACATATGCAGCCAATGAGCTTACTGCCTTGCATTTATATGGCTGGCTAGCATTCACTTGAGATTCCTGCAGCGCGCTTTCAGAGTTCTCTGAAACCCTACACCTTCCCCAGCTCCACCTGTATAGATCTGCTACAGGGTTATTTTATATGCTATTTGTGCAGCAGTAGTATGTCTTAAATACTCATGGCACCATATCGCCATATGCATTGGCAGTAGCAAGTTCCTGTACTTGCTTGCAGCAGCAGCAATAATCTACAACTACAGCAATAACCAACAGCAGCAGCGTAGCAGATCTGTTCCGCCAAGACCAAATACATTAACAATGTGATATCTAGGACTGCACGATAAATCGCATGCGATATTTAATGCGCATCTTGTCAGAAAGCTGGTTCTGTAATCAGCGGTAAATCTCCATCACCTGCGGGCTTTCACATTGAGCAGCATTAACTACACAGAGCCGTTGTTCACTGACGAGCTGCGCAAAAAATCGCACGAATATGAACGTGGTTTTGTGCATGCAGCCCTAGTCATATCCCTCACAATGCTAAAATGTTCCGAGAGTTGTCATGATTTAACTATTTTTATGCCCAAAATGTAAAAAGTAATCCAATTCTTCTAAATACATTGAAAATAATGAAGCACTAAATAGTGTACTGTAAAATGCTAAGCGAATTTAGGCATCACAAAATTTTAATGTACGTACAGTATGAAAAATGGATATTCATTGGGTGCATCTCAATCAGCTCCCTTGTTCAGTAGTAAGGGCACTGATCAGGGAGTCTGCCATTTTAAGGGCTGTCTCAATCGCGAAATCCTTCCAGTGCACTGGAACTTTCGCTCCCTGAAAAATCCCACAATGCACCGCAAAAACTAGGGAGCATCGGCGCTCACTATGCTCCCTTACTGGCAATAACATCACATTTCTGAAGTGTGAAACAAAAACCACACGAGTCAACGCAATAGAAGATTTGAAAAAAACGGACCGTTTTTTTATATATTTCAACATAAACACACATCGCTAGACAGGTAATGAACACATCTAATTGTCATTTATAATTTATATTTGACTGAATTGTTGTACGAACATGTAACAGAACGATGTGTTTAAAGAGAATAAAAATAATCTAAAAATTAGATCTACTGATTCACGATCTCGGGAGTTAGGGAGCTGATTGAGACGAACCCATTTTAAGATTTGTTTTTAAATTATTAGTTAATAATAGTTTTTAAACATTAATTTTAAGTGTTAGATGACAGGTAATCCAAATGTAAAAATAGAAGCGCATGCACAATTAAATATAAAATATTGGCTGATATATAAAAAAATTGCATGATACATTTAAATTAAAATTAAAAATATTTTAAATTAAAAAATGGCTATAACTGATATGATACTAATATACTGTGATCCCTAGAAAATACAGCAAAACTGTGTGAATATATTGTGATTCCAAATATATTCTCTGAATATTATAGAACATAAACACTATTTCATAACTGAGCAAGAAAATAACAAATATTAAATTGCATTGCTTAAATGGATACAAATAAATATGAATAATGACAAAGAAATCCAAACTTGACAATATTTACTTAAAGTGTAATCTGAGATGCCCTCTTTGTTAATTTTATATTGATTATTACATAATGTAACTTATTTACTGAAATTATAAATCTTGAATCATGCATCAATGCATTATTATATCCCTAAATGTTAATTCTGCAAATAAATATTCCTCACAGCCTCATAATTAAAATGCAAACAGTCCACAAACATCAATTCAACCCTTACTTTAGCTTGAACGTCCAGCCTAAGATCCATGGAAGTGAGACTGTGTCCGTTGGTTGTGAGCGACAACTACTTCAAATAATGTGGCAGCATTTTTGTGTAAAGTGATCGAAGCGTGCGTTTGTGTGCGTCAGACGTGTGTCTCGATGTAGGAGTGTGTGTGTGAGAGGGAGGGCGTGCGAGGGGCGGGTTCAGGTGTGGCGGCAGGGCTTGGCTCGGAGGCGGGGCTTGGCTGACGGTCCCGCTGCGGCTCTGATGAAAACAGCTCCATGTAAACGTTCTTCCATTCCTGGAACTCTGAGGATGTGAGCTTAGGATTGGCCAGCAGCTTGTCAATCAGTGCTACCTCGCCCTCCCTGTCCTATGGGAGTGAAGAAAGAGAGCAGTGGAGGGTGGGCATTACAGATACAGTCTCCTTCATACAGTGGTTAGGATGTCATAGTCAAAGCACGCCACAGGCAGTTAGCGTAGACGTGAAGTGATGTGGACTCAACCTAGATGAGCAGAGCGACACACACGCAAACACACATAGCATGCTCAGACTTGACTGGAGTCCTCTGGCACTGTGGAGCTTCGTGCCCCCAATTAACCTTCTTTCATTCAAGTCTGAGTGATAAGGGATGTTTATAATA